AGATTTAGATAGGTGACAGGCATTTTCGTTTGCCAAAACATAACAGTTGTCTGAGGATCGGGTTCCTTCCATGATAAGTTGATCTGTTTTGTCACTAACTCTGCAGCAGTTACGATCGAAGCACACATTCCAATTTTGATCACACAACTGACTGATGCTGATCAGATTTGCTTTCAACCCACTGACTAACAGAACCTCTTCTAAGTGAGGTAAACCTGGTACATTCAGGGTACCTTTCCCAACTATTTTCCCTTTTTGCCCGTCGCCATATGTAACAGATCCATTGCTTGGTAGAACAGCCATGAGACACTTTACATTTCCAGTCATATGTCTGGAACAGCCACTGTCGAAATACCATCTAGCTTCAGTCGTAGATGCTGTCAGAACTATAGTGGGGTAGCATATAACTTCTGACTTTCTGACCCAGACCTGTCTAGTGAACGGTGTAATAGTCTTGTTCTGATATTTTTCCTTCCTTTGATCTCTGTAATAAAAAATAACACTTAGGCCGAGTGTGACCTTTTGTTTGACAGTAGTGGCAAATGGGAGTGTATTGTCTAACTCTGACAAACTTATTTTTGAACCTTGAATAATGAGATTGATGAGTTACCTTGCCAAAGTCAGTATCTGCAGTTTGATCATATATCTTTCTCTAATCATTTTTCTGAACTGACCGAGATGACTGTCCTTGTTCAAAACTGTGAACTGTTGTGGCCTTAAACATACCCTCTTTGACAAACATAGGAGCATTATTCGAAGATTCACCTCGTTCAAATCCTAGAACCATTTTATCATTAGGATTTCTACCAGAGTCCAGAATTTTGTCTAATGTTGATGTGGTGTCCATCATCTGGATATTTTTCTTCAGACCTTCCAATTCCTTTATCAGTTTTCCTTCTCTGGATCTTATCTCAATGATAAGATCTTCTTTTATGACAAGATCTGTATTTAGTTTTTTTAGAAGATCATCCCTTTGCTTCAGCTCGTCATTCAGATTTTTATTGACTTTCACTAGTTGTTCCCAGCTTGCAACAAGTTTTGCAAATTCCATTTCAAGTTGAGTATGCCTCTCTTCAAAATCATATGTTGATATATAAGATTCTTCATCTGATTCGTTTCCGTCTGACTGAATCTCTGTAGCTGTAAACAAGGCTACAAAGTTTCCTACATTATCATCAGACTGATCATTAGATGCTTCCTCCTCATCATCACTTAGTGTAGCTACTGACATAGCCTTTTTCCTCTTGAGATACGTTGCACATTCTGCATGTATGTGTCCATAACCTTCACACTCCCTACACTGCACTGACCGGTTGAGAGACCTCCCTGCATCTGTGGAACTGTTTCTGTTCTGTCTTGTTCGGCCAGTCTGGGGTTGATTGTTCTGTGAAAAAGGTGTTGTTTCGGCTTTCTGAAATGAGGAGTTATTGGCTTTGTATTGTGTCCTGGTGGGTTGACCTTGACTCTTTTTGTTTAATCCTTTCAATATTTTCTTAAAATTCTTGGTTAGAAGTGCCAAGGTTTCATCATCTATTTCGTCTGCGTTAGATTCTCGATCAGCTTCAGCCACAAAAGCCACTAACTTTCCTTTTCTGTTTCCAGCAAGATCATCATCAGCAAGCACTTCAAGTTCATATGTGTGTAAACTTCCCATAAGTTCTCCTACAGTCTTCTTTTCCCAGCCTGTGTGTTCCTGAATAACAGTTACTTTCATCTGGAAGCGTTTAGGTAAAGATCGAAGGATCTTTTTGACTACTCTCTCATCAGTGAAAGGTTCACCAAGAATTGAGGCTCTATTCATCAGATTCTGAACCCGACTATGAAAGGTCGAAATGGTTTCCTCTTCATTCATTCTAAGGGCTTCAAATTCTTACAGCACCATTTGTAGCTTTGACTGCTTGACATCACTAGTTCCCTCAAATCTGGTTTCAAGAACTTCCCATACACGTTTAGCTTATTTTACCCCTGTGGCTAGGGTAAAGACAGATTCATGCAGAGATCCTACAATAGAGTTCAACGCTTTGTTGTTTAGATCAGAGGCATCCATTTCATCGTCTGTCCAAGTCTCCATGGGCTTATCCCCAGTGGTTCCATCAGCATTCTAAACAGTTGGACGACTCCACCCAGATAGGACAGTACGATAATGTAACACCCCCATTTTCCAAAACCAAATTAATTTATAAAAAGGCATTTATTTGATTAAAATTTCATTATTTAATTGCGGAAGCTAAACAAAACAAGGAAAAAGGGATGCTACCGCCACGTTTAGATAACAACCTATAACCAAACGCACATGCTAAAACAACACTATTGAAAACAATCCATAATTTATTCTAGCCCACTAACTACAATAATACAATTGTCAAAAACAACTTCTAAATTTTCTAACAAAACAAAACTCCAAACCTCTATAAGATGAATCGCTCTCATGCTCCAAATGTCATACAAGATGTACCTGCAAAAGAAACTAAGGAGGGGAAAAATTCAGCATGCAACAGCTAGTAAGACTTACTCCACCCCGTAAAACATTTTACACATAGCATATAACACCTTGGAGCACATAATTCCACATTAACCCCTTATTCATATTATATTTGCAATATTCCTTCATACCACTTCTTCACATTTAATTACCAATTATCAATTCAACCACATAATAAATCTAATTTATAATTTCACATAACATTTCAGAATTTACCATAACATCAATTAATTTAACATAAAATACCATAACTTCCACGTTTGACAACTTTTCTCAATATTAGGATTTAATCCTTTATTTACCACCAAGTCAATGAGGAGGAAAAGTACAAGGCAAGAGCCATTACTTCGGACCCAGTGACCAAAACCAACCAACCAGAGACCAACCCAGTTGGCTCGAGATCAATCCCTTAAGTATGCATACCCCCATTGAGAGACCTACCCCAACGAGTAGAACGAACTCGATTGTGAGAGACCAACCCCACAAAGTACATAATAATATTCCAGAATCAAATGTGAGAGACCAACCCCACAAGATCCATAACCAAATGTGCGAGACCAACCCCACACTGATTACGTTCCAAAATCAAATGTGAGAGACCAACCTCACAATAAAAATCCAGGTACAAATCCTCAATGACCAAAGTTAATTAAATATATTTTGATACCCATTAATTCGTTTATTCCACCATACTCAAATATATGTATAATACCATACTCCCACATATATCCAAATATACACAATCTCTATAACACTAAGGCTACTGTGCATGTATACAAACATACACTACACGCTATATATACAGAATCCATAGCCACTCAATCCTTTGGCATAATCATTATTAGGCTTAGCTAAAATACTTTTAATCACACAAGATAGCAATAGATATACAGAACAAACAATTTAACGTTAATTATATACATATGTACCTACTGTGCACAATGGCCCACAATCATATACTTTATATTTAACAATTACGTTTTCAAACACTACTTCACCATTTAAACATATATTCATACTAATTAAACATGTTAGGCTAATAGACTTATATTTAGAAAGATACATATACAAGCATATAATTTCATGTACTCAATTTCACAGAATCATCAGTCAATTTTCATATCGTATATAATATTCACAAAGATCATGAATCGCATAGCAACTATTCAAAAATAATAAAACAAGTTTTTAAGGAAAAGGTTTTCACATAAACACTTAGGAAAAATCAATTTTTGATTTGGGGTAAAAGGATTTTGAGTAGACATAAATCTTACCTGAATTCTCAAAACCAATAGAACCCTTGAATCCCTATGGTGAACAGATGAGAGAACTTATGATGACAAAGGAAGGAGACCAAGATTGAACCGATGAAGAAGAAAGAGATTACGTAACTTTTTTTTTCTGTTTGGCGTATTGGGGCGGAAAAGTGTCAAGAGGATATATGTGTAAATCAGAATCATATGATTTAGGGTTAGTCAAAAAGGTCATCATTATTATTATTATATATATATACTGTACGCATATCGTACATTATAGGATTAGGGTTACATGATATATTTACAATAAAAAAAAACGTTATATATATATATATATATATATATATATATATATATATATATATATATATATATATATATGCTGTAGTGATGATATGATGAAGATTCTACTATATATATTTATAAATAAATTGGAATTGCGCTGCTGTACAAAACATATATAAGTATATTAACATAAACATATATAAGTATATTAACATATGTATTTATTAGGGTTTGGAATATAAAACGTACTGTAGGTATAAGTTAGGATTAGGGGAAACATTAGGTTATGAAAATATTTTATGTATATAAGGATTACAAAACCATAAGACTTAATAATAATATAGGTTTAGGATAATATTAGATCAGACTTGGAACTCGAGTAATAAAAAAAAAATAGAAAAATACAGTGTCCAAAAATATGGGGTATCACACTCTACCCTCCTTAAAGATGCTTCGTCCCCGAAGCATAACCATAGGAAAATACCGGGTATTACAATCTTACCCCCTTAAAAGATGCTTCGTCCCCGAAGCATAACCATAAGGCAACACTAAACAAAGCAGACTCACTAATAGGGAACTGAAGAGGCTCAAAATTAAGTTCAATACACCATAATAAAGACAAGGTGTTACACTCACCCATCCTAAGAAGTATAGTTACGTCCCCGTAACTTTGATGCAAGTCCTTAGCCAAACTATACACAAATCAATTATCAAAATTATTTGACAATCACCATTAGAATAAAGCACAAAGTTCAAATTAAACATAGAGCACCACTTATCAGATATCATAATCAAAGGAAGTAATATGCAACTAAATATGCAATGTCTCACCAACTAATAAAATGGAATATAGACGAACTATTAAACCAACTAGCGAACTAAATTAGATGAATACGTCTCTAGGTGATTCACTCTCGTGTCAATGCATCACGCATCATCACCAGAAACCATATCACCGGCCTCAGCTTGAGTTCTACTCATGACGAAGATCCTTCCTCGATTGTTGTTCCCACCATTGCTGTTTTGACCTCCATTATCAGTTGCTTGATTGTTCCCATTTTTATTTCCATTGTTGCCTCCACCATTGTGATTTCGGTTTCCAGACCCATGATTGTTAGGTCTAGGTCCTCTTTGATTTCCTCCATTGCCGTTAGATCCTTGTTGATTCCCATTTTGTTCTTATGACATTCATATGCTCGATGTCCCAACTTTTGGCATTTGAAGCATTTCACTAAATTTCCTTGGCAATCCTTCCCAGGGTGTCCATTTCCACAGCTCTTGCAGTAATGATACCTCTCAATTCCATTGCGTTTCTGCCAGTAACCTTCTTGCCCATTGTTGCCACCATAACCTCCACTGCCCTTGTTGTTTTGAAATCCTTTATTTTACAATTGATTGTTGAACTTAGGTCTTTTATCCCCTTACTTGTTTTCTTCCTCATTGCTCTCCATCCTCTTCCTACTCTTCATGTTGGCTTCTCTTTCAATCAACTCCACACGATAAAGGTTAGCAGCCTTATTGTATGCCTTATTTAGTGTTTCAAGATCCAGGGCGCAAATTACCTTTTGAATCCCAAAATTCAGTCCCCTAATGAATTTCTGTGTCTTGCTATACTCATCAGGAACCAGCCTAGTTGCAAAACGAGCAAGCTCCAAGAATTTTGCATGATACTCTTGCACAGACAAATTGCCTTGCTTCAAGTGTAAGAACTCCTCATACATTGCAGCCTTAACATGTTCAGGATACAATCGATCCCTCATAGCATCCTTGAAGGCCTCCCAGTCAAAGTCAGGTTGTTGACTAAGAGCATGACCATTATTTACCCACCAAATGTCACCTTCTTGTTGCAAGTAGTACACAGCAGCCTCCACCTTTTGGTCAACAGGGCAACCAATAGCATCCAACAACTTATCAAAAGCTCTTACCCAATCCTCAAGAACACGAGGATCTTCTTGTCCGCCATAAAAAGGAGGATTGAGACTAGAGACCTTTTTAACCACATCGTTTCCATTGCCATTCTGAAGTAATGTAGCACCCAAAGCTTGTGTCAACTGTTGAAGCCCATGAGCCTGTTGAGCATTAGTGGGAGCATTGATTTCGTTCCCACCATCAATACCTTCGTGAGCGGACACGTTCCTTCTTGGCGGCATGATGACTGTTCTACAACACAATTAACAGCGTTACCGCTGGGGGGTTGTACTAAATTCAAAATTCATAGCGGGTATCCAAAAGAAGGACTACTAACACAAATGTCATCACCAGAGGTCTTAACAGGTCCACCACTACTAAACAGGCCTCTACTAAAAATATAAATAATCAATTAATTCACAATAATTCAATTACCCATAACAATTCAATATTTCAAAGTAGTCCAACTTTCATGCTCAACCAAATAAACAAGTCCACCATCTAGAGAGAAACAAAATTTCCACCAAATGGAAAAATCACAAAAATTCAATAATCCACCAAGATTCAAATATCATAACAGGTTACCAATAATCCCAAGTAATGCAAATGCACAATATGCAAAATCACAATTCCTCACCGCGGTTATTCCAAATTTTAAATTCCTAGCAAATTTTAATTCCTAGCAAATTATAATTCCTATACATACATCTCAAAACCTAACCTCCGCTTAGGCTCTTAAAGTCAACTTCTTAACATCCTAGGACTCAAACCTAGGGTTCCGATACCAATTTGTAACACCCCCATTTTCCAAAATCAAATTAATTTATTAAAAGGCATTTATTTGATTAAAATTTCATTATTTAATTGTAGAAGCTAAACAAAACAAGGAAAAAGGGATGCTACCGCCACGTTTAGATAACAACCTATAACCAAACGCACAGGCTAAAACAACACAATTGAAAACAATCCATAATTTATTCTAGCCCACTAACTAAAATAATACAATTGTCAAAAACAACTTCTAAATTTTCTAACAAAATAAAACTCCAAAGCTCTAGAAGATGAATCGCTCTCATGCTCCAAATGTCATACAAGATGTACCTGCAAAAGAAACTAATGAGGGGAAAAATTCAGCATACAACAGCTGGTAAGACTTACTCCACCCCGTAAAATATTTTACACATAGCATATAACACCTTGGAGCACATAATTCCACATTAACCCCTTATTCATATTATATTTGCAATATTCCTTCATACCACTTCTTCACATTTAATTACCAATTATCAATTCAACCAAATAATAAATCTAATTTATAATTTCACATAACATTTCAGAATTTACAATAACATCAATTAATTTAACATAAAATACCATAACTTCCACGTTTGACCACTTTTCTCAATATTAGGATTTAATCCTTTATTTACCACTAAGTCAATGAGGAGGAAAAATACAAGGCAAGAGCCATTACTTCGGCCCCAGTGACCAAAACCAACCAACCAGGGACCAACCCAGTTGGCTCGAGATCAATCCCTTAATTATGCATACCCCCATTGAGAGACCAACCCCAACGGGTAGAACGAAGTCGATTGTGAGAGACCAACCCCACAATGTACATAATAATATTCCAGAATCAAATGTGAGAGACCAACCCCACAAGATCCATAACCAAATGTGAGAGACCAACCCCACACTGATTACGTTCCAAAATCAAATGTGAGAGACCAACCTCACAATAAAAATCCAGGTAAAAATCCTCCATGACCAAAGTTAATTAAATATATTTTGATACCCATTAATTCATTTATTCCACCATACTCAAATATATGTATAATACCATACTCCCACATATATCCAAATATACACAATCTATATAACACTAAGGCTACTGTGCATGTATACAAACATACACTACACGCTATATATACAGAATCCATAGCCACTCAATCCTTTGGCATAATCATTATTAGGCTTAGCTAAAATAATTTTAATCACACAAGATAGCAATAGATATACAGAACAAACAATTTAACGTTAATTATATACATATGTACCTACTGTGGACAATGGCCCACAATCATATACTTTATATTTAACAATTATGTTTTCAAACACTACTTCACCATTTAAACATATATTCATACTAATTAAACATGTTAGGCTAATAGACTTATGTTTAGAAAGATACATATACAAGCATATAATTTCATGTACTCAATTTCACGGAATCATCAGTCAATTTTCATATCGAATATAATATTCACAAAGATCACGAATCACATAGCAACTATTCAAAAATAATAAAAGAAGTTTTTAAAGAAAAGGTTTTCACATAAACACTTAGGAAAAATCAATTTTTGATTTGGGGTAAAAGGATTTTGAGTAGACATAAATCTTACCTGGATTCTCAGAACCAATAGAACCCTTGAATCCCTATGGTGAACAGATGAGAGAACTTATGATGACAGAGGAAGGAGACCAAGATTGAACCGATGAAGAAGAAAGAGATTACGTAACTTTTTTTTTTTTTCTGTTTGGCGTATTGGGACGGAAAAGTCTCAAGAGGATATATGTGTCAATCAGAATGATATGATTTAGGGTTAGTCAAAAAGGTTATCATCATTATTATTATATATATACTATAAGCATATCGTACATTTTAGGATTAGGGTTACATGATATATTTATAATAAAAAAAAACGTTTTATATATATATATACATATATATATATATATATTTTGTAGTGATGATATGATGAAGATTCTACTATATATATTTATAAATAAATTGGAATTGCTCTGCTGTACGAAACATATATAAGTATATTAACATATGTATTTATTAGGGTTTGGAATATAAGACGTACTGTAGGTATAAGTTAGGATTAGGGGAAACATTAGGTTATGAAAATATTTTATGTATATAAGGATTACAAAACAATAAGACTTAATTATAATATAGGTTTAGGATAATATTATATCAGACTTGGAACTCGAGTAATAAAAAAAAATAGAAAAATACAGTGTCCAAAAATATGGGGTCTCACAGATAAATCCTAGTACTTTGTGCTTGGAGATATATCTCCATACGAGCCTTCCAGAAAGAGTAGTTGTGACCATCTAGTTCTGGTGGTTTCATACTTGCATCCATCCCGAACAAAGACAACCAGCCAATGAACACACAAAGGCATTTCCAAAAGACTGAGAACAATGCAAAACTAAAAACCCGTACGGATCAAGTCACTATGTAAACTTAAAAGCTCTGATACCACATGTAATTTTGCATTTCATCATTTTTAATTAGATTAACTAGATTAACAAACTGATGAAATGGACTGAATGATTCAGCGATGAAGTCAGTCAGTAATAGCAGACCATAGAGATGTTTAAAGAAAGAGATAACAGCACAAAGCAAAACACAAGATGTTTACCCCGTTCGATACAGTGTGTATCTACGTCTAGGGGACGATCACATAGGCGTCCAATCCACTAAATCATAATCCAATGTACAAAGGTAGAGAAACAATAATCTCACCCAAGTGCCCCACACAAGGTATGTACCTAGTCTACACAGGTTTAGTGGATTGTTGAAGGTGGAGAGCCATGCGTACAGAAGTCCAATGAAGTCCCTTCACTTTGAGAGCCAACTCTGATGCAGTCCATTTCAATGACGCTCTTTACGGTTGTTCCTACAACAGTGTGATCACAGTGTCCTTTCGTTTAAGCAGCAGTGATTCTTCTCAAGTTCTTCATCTTAATCACCACGAACATGTTGTATTGAGAAGAGGCATAGTAATCAAAGATCTGATCTCATAAAACTGATAAGGAGTGTTTCTTCTCTCTTGAAAGTGTAACCCTATTTCTCGTCATGAGTATACTTATAGTTCCATCGTTAGAACACTCTCTCCATATATATCTTTGATTGTAGACGGTAAGACAATATTTGAAGAATGTAATCTTAAAGATTCAGTCCATACCTTTCCAATGCAGATACGCTGATCTTCTTTCCAAATCTATCTTCTGTAAAACCACATACAACTTTTAAGTAAACAACTTCCTAAAACAGATCTTCAGTGTCAGGCCCTCTGTTGTTGTATCTGATTGATCAGTCCTGTGTAGAACAAAACTGACACTAAGCTAATCATATCTTAGTATGCCATAATAATATTGCCAATTATTAGTTGGGGTTTTTGAGCAATTAAAACACTAACAATATCACCACACAAGAATTCCCAAGGGACTCCCCACCACCAAGCCTAGGGAGATCAAACGGATGGAAATCTTAGGGAAGAACCTTAATAGCCAAGGGAGGATTAATTAAGGCTAAGAGATAACCCATGTCTCAACAAAACCTATTTTACTTGCTATATTCTCCTTCTTTGGATTCCTCTATATGCTTGTGTCTTAATGAATTCCTTTATGATAATCGTGATATAATCTTGTTGATTGATGTGATGATTTTATGTGTGATCTTGATGATCTTGATGTTAAAAAGAGGTTCTTGATATTTATATGATGATTCTTGATGATTCTTGATGATAAAGATAAAATATGATTTTGATGATTTGGGTGGGATTAGAGCCCTAGGTTGGATTGGGAATTTGTAATGTGATGATCTTGACTTATATTTGGGTGGGAATTTGCATGTTCGGGTGTTGTTCGTGTCTAGAAGTCATGTTAGGATGTGTTCAATATGATTCTTGCTTTCGATCCATTAATTGCCTACGTGGTGTCGTTAATTGCGTTTAAAAGTGTCTGAATATGGTTTCGGGTTCCACAAAGGATCCCGGGACGTTTATTGAGTTAAAGAGTTAGTGGGGGGTAGGTGGGGGTAGGGGTACCCGCCACCTACCCGCTGCCAGAGAATTATCGCCAGGCAGCGTGCAGACGTTTGCCCGCCGGCCACCCGCTGCCCGGAAGTCCATCGCCGGCGGGCAGCTGGCGGGTGACCCCCACCCACCAGCTACCCGATGGTCCGTTACCCACCACGGGTCCTCGGCTTCCCCGTTTGGTGTTCCCCAATCCTCGTGGTGTCCCAACGGACCCCGTTTGTCGTGCTTGAGTCTAGTTTGATGTTTCGGGTGCCATTCGTAAGATAAAAGGGTCTTAGGAATTGCATGCTAGTTAATCGGTAACGCGTTGACCTAGGAGAAGAATGCATGAACCCCTTAGGACAACTCTTAGTATGTTAATGATCACACGTAAGTTTATTTATACACCTCCCCCTTCCCAATGTGCT